ACCAAAAAAATTTTAATTGTTCCATCCAAGGTTCAATAAATGTGTCCTTATACATTTTAATTTTACTATTGCTTGTGTATACTGACCACATTTTGAACTGCTTTAAAGTATTACTTTTAAGTAAACAAATAAGCTAAGTACGAGAATTCATCAAAAAAGTGCTTGGCCCGATGTTCTTCCGATAGTGAGAACCGAACTAATTGGTCTTGCTTTTCAATATAATTGCCCTCTACATTATTGCACTCTGCCCACATATGATCCACCTTGTTTAACCCTTCAAAACGAACTCTCTATGTTGATCTGCAACGAAATCATTAACCGCCTCCATGACACCTTTATTGCCACCGAAACGTCTACCACGAAGCTTGGTTTTCACATTCGAAAACATGTAGAAGTCAGAGGGTGGGGGGAGGGGGCAAGTCCGGAGAATATGGGGAATTTCAAAAATTTCAAAGCCGCAGTTAGTAGCAGCAGCCCTCACAACTTGGGATGTGTGAGCTTGCGTATTGTCGTGCAGGTGCAAAACGCCTTGGGTCAGTATGCTCTCCCCCTTTTACAAGCGATTTCTTGAGGAAGACGTCTCACTTCGTCTGCATAGAACGTACCGTTTATGGCACGACCTTGCTCAAGAAAGTCATTCATAAGTATTCCCTGACTATCCTAGAAAATTAAAGCCATCATTTTCCCTGCTGATGGCATCCTATTGGATTTCTTCGGAGGGCGGAGTCAGGGTGCTTCCACTGCACGCTCTGTTTTTTTTAAATCTGGATCGAAGTTTCATCTTTGGTTACGATCCGGTTGATAAAATCAGATTCATCGTCGTAGCGAGACAAAAGATATCTTAAAATGTCAAGCCTGGTCCGTTTCTGGTCGTCCGTCAACTGTCTGGGGACCCAACTAGCGGAAACATTTGACATTCCATACACATCAGTCAGATTTACCTGAACTGAACCAAAGCTTATACCCACTTCCCTAGCAATAATTCGCATGGCTCGCATTCTGTCGCACATGACCAGATCGTGCACAACTTCGGCAGTTTCATCTTTTGTGGCATCTTTTGGCCGCCCCGGGCGCTCATCATGTCATATGTTCTCCTTGCCACTCTTGAATTAAGCAGCCAATTTATTCACAGTGCTTTAGGAAGGAGACTCCTTCCCATGTATATTCATGAAGTCTTAATGGATTTCCTTTGGGACAGAGGTACTTAATGACAGCTCTGATTTCAACTTTCTCCATTTGATCTTAATTACACACCCCTCTACTGATCAAAGTATGTTTTATGTTACTCAGTCTGTGTAAAACCGCAAAGGCCACTCATCATCTCAAATGCTCTCCCTGCTCCTCTTAAATTCAACATCCCATTTGTTCACACTGCTTTGGGAAGGGTACTCATTCCCTGAAGTATCGTTGAGGTCTTCATGGATTCCCTTTTGGGACATCCTTTTCTTACAGAGGTACTTAATGACGGCTTTGATTTCAACTTCCTCCATTTGGTCTAAATGACACACCCCTCTGCTGATCAAAATGTGTTTTATGTAAATCCGTGTAAAATCGCGTGTAACTCCGTCAGTAATCTTCAAAAAGAAATCGGTATCGACGTATCGTGTGTAAATGTCAGTGTAGTGTCTAGAAGTATATCGGGCCAAGAAATTTTTGATCATACCGCGTATAACATTTTTTTCTATTTCTGCCAATCGTCTACCAAAAAGAAACCATGATAGTTATAATCTGATTAAGCAATTGCAGAAACATACTGTTTTTCCACATTTAGGCAAAAAAGTGCGAATGTATAAATATTTGTTTGGTAATACACCATCAATAATTATTCTATACAATATCATATAATTGCGATAGTGTTTAAAATCAGAATAATTTATAATTCATTTGTCAGTCATAAATTATGGAGAGACAACCCTTACCAAAAACTAGAAATGTGTCCATAGGACACGGATGCCCCCACATGCCACTGTTCTGTCAATCTTATGACTCTAGGTCAAATAGTTTTTGGACTACATGTGCCACAAGTTGAAAACTAAAAATCAACAAAGGGCCATAATTCTGTTAAATTTGGTTGCATCAAAAATTCCTTTATTACCATCTACACATTAAGTTTGTTAATCCCTGGAAGTTTAAGCAAAATCTGCCATCCGGTTAAAGAGGAGTTGCGTTCACAAAATTTCTACATAGTATATAGTGAAAAAATCAACAAAGGGCCATAATTCTGTTAAATTTGGTTGCAGCAAATATTCCTTCCTTTACTACCATCTACACATTAAGGTTGTTCATCTCTGGAAGTTTAAGCAAAATCTGCCATCCGGTTTAAGAGGAGTTGCGTTCACAAGATTTTGGGACGAACTGACAAGTGCAACGCTATATGCTCCCACATTGTGGGGGCATAAAAATAATCTTATTTTACTTACATGTTAAACTGTCAAATCCTCTTTTGTGCCAGGCAGTATCTACTGCACTGGACATACCACTGCGGGTTTTACAGGGAAATTTCGGGGAAAGTCTTAATCTGCTGTGAGGTTTTTCAAGATGTGGACCACTTCTGATTTGTTTTCAACCTTTGACTGTCTGTGAGAACTGTAATTGTAAAAATATTTCAAAAATATTTTCTGTAATTTAAAATTCATCTTTAAACGTAATATTGACAAATATTGAGAAACTACACCAATGAATTGACAATAACTTATTTATAATTAATGTAACACAATGTTCATACTAGAATTAGTTTTGTTAATTATTAATGCTGATTGCACGACTTTTTCCTGACCAATTTTAGTAATCACTTTTATGAAATAATTCGGACTGCATATCGATTATTCATCACATGAAGATACATCAAATTGTTTCTATTGAAGACGACCCCAAATAGCATTACAAAATTATCACAGTATTATCATTTAATTGCTACACCATGATTATAAATATATATAAAAAAACCTCATAGATTTCAACTTACAGTTTAATAGGCATTTTTGTTTGATGTATTGTTGAGGATTGTTCATCACAATTGTATAAATCTGACCATTCACTGTCATTTGTAACTGTAGCATCTGACTGAAGAATAGACCTTGAATAAAAAAAAATACATATGTACAAACAGTATATGGAGAGATATTCATATATTGAAGCAACTGACATAACACAAACAGTTCAACAACACCAGTCAGTTTTGCATAGTCCTTTACTTTCGTAAATAAACAAAATACAGAAAACAAACTACCAGTACTCACTTTAGTGCTGGCGAGGCATCTGGCAAAGGACATCCTCCAAGATCTTGTCAATAAGACCTTCCATGATGTTGTGTTCTGATACCATTGATTCTTCATGATGCACATCCCTTAAAAAGAATGCATGTATTTAATAAGAATTTTAGTCTTAAACCAATGAAGGTAAAATATGATAAACAAGATCAACAAGGAAAGGCGGCGTTCAATGAACGCAACCCCCATATGACCCAGCAACAAGTACCAATGGCAAGGAGCCCAGGCGGACCCAGTTTGTCATGTAGAAATAAATACTTTTTTTAAAAAACAATTACACATTCATGTTATTTTGAAAAAAGAAATATGTACATGAATATAGAGTAACATGCAAAAACAACAAAGCCATTGTTTAAAAATTCTTTTCTCATATATGGATTGTATAATATTCTTTGGTTCCCTAAACCACGAGTATACCAGCAATATAGGATTATACCATGATAAGCTGCATAGACATAATAATTACAAAATAATTTTTCAAATTCTTCCAATTCAATTACATGTTATTTCGAAAATATCATTGTAAATGTGTCTTACTCAATTTTCTTGATCTTTCGCAGCAGATTCTGTCGACATAGACAGATAAAAGCCACTGTCTCAATGATATTTCCAACACGTCTCTCCATTTCTTTTCATGTTTTTATTTCCAATTGTTGGTATATTGAGTGATGACAACAAATTGTTGACCCTCCCCTCACCGGCCCACCTACACTATCAATCATTGCTGTAAGAAAATGTAAAGAAACAAATTATTTCATTAAGTATACAAATATTTTGTCAAAAAAAAACTTCACATGGATTGTAATTTACATAACCGTGATAATAACACATTGCATAAATTTATATAGAGCTATTTTTAGCTGCCTCATGTACATTGTATGTTGAATATTACTGTGACTGTGGGTATTGGCAGCCTAGTGTAAACTGTGTCTTTCATATAATGTACATGTAGGATTCTGTAATGTCTTAATAAAAATTGCATTGTTGCAAGATTTAATTTAGCAACGTTTTATCATTTGTTTGTCAAATTTCTCAGTGACTTTGGGGAAATTAAAACAGTTCAGAGGGAAGTTTATAAAAAATTTCACAATAGGAAGTGGCTAGCTGTACAGGCCCGTACGGCTAGCCAAAAGTTCTAGCCGTACGTGAGTCATGTACGACTAGCCAGGACACACTGTATTGGCTAGCTGTACGGCACTTTTCAAAATTAAATGGAGTACGTGAGTCACGTACGGCTAGAACTTTTGGCTAGCCGTACGGGCCCGTACGGCTAGCCACTTCCTTCACAATAAGGAGTAGTGTTTTACAGCTCAACACAAACAAGATACATGTATTCTGTATAATAAATTAATTATTTATAAATCTGAAACATAAATTTGGTCCGCATAATTTTACATCATTGGAAGACAAGTAGATAAACACTGATAAATGTATATTCATTTTGGTTAGCTTAAGGTCTTCAGCGTACCCGTTTATATACTATGACATGACATGAACGCTGAAGATAACCCCGTAGGGAAAGTCCACCAATAATCGTGCCAGGAATCTGACACGCTCGTATTTATTCATCGAACATGCCATGAAGTAAAGTGAAGCATACCTTGATAAAACTATATATAATCTGTTGATAATCTGTTGTTAATCTAAAGTATGATGCAATACATTAATCGCTTACCTGGTCCTAATTTTGTGTTGACAACGAAACATGGCATTCCAACTTTCCCAGGTCTTCAATCTACTACTATTAGAGTCTGTGTTTTTCCATAGGGAACACAATTCACATGACCGCATAATTTCTGTGTTTCGACATTTCACATATAAATATCCAGACACACCCTGTTTAAATTCACCTAACATGTTGTCAAGTCTACATTTTTTACAAAATCTTAGGGTTGACCGTAACACGCCAAACTCAAGTCTCAACGATTCTTCTTCCCCTTTTCCATTATCAACCGATTTAGGAAGAGTTGATGTTTTGTAGAGCTGGTTTGGTTGACCCGTAATACTGGTTACCTGCACTATAGTTATGTTCTATAATTAAGTCGCAATACTTGGGTTTTCTGCATCTTTTTACACTTTTTTGAATCGACCGAGCATATCACGCCTGTAAGACGCCATGTTAGATATCTACGGAAATTACGTCATTTTCTTGGGGAATACTACCACGTGACCGGGGATATCCGCTATTATTAGAATTCCGACTTTATACGTAAACAAACGAAGTTCGTTACGATAAATCGCGAGATATGGCGGTAATTGTCGAAGATTGCCGATTTCATTATGGGTCTTCTACCTTATAATTTTTTAACTGTTATTGTGAACTACAATACCCTCCATGATACATATGATGTTTCAATTTGATAACTCTTAGGCAAAAAATAAAAATATGTTTGTTTCCACTTCCCGACCCATTAAAATAGGGTTGGGTAGGTAGGTAGGTAGGTTATATATAGGTAGGTACATGAAGGACTTTTTTTATATGTGCATAATAATATAATTCCTTGGCAAAATAGTTATTTACTGAACAAAGTTGATTAACTTTCAGAACTGATGTGTTTGTGGCGATTATCTGGCAAACTTGTTTTTATAGAAAAGTTTCTGGTGAACTTTCAGTGAATATTTTTTTTCATAGAAAGATTCTGGCAATCTCTGGCAAATTAGTTTTCCACTGAAAGTTTCTGGCAAACTTTTGGCGAACTACTTAATATTCTGGTGAATTTGCCGCAAAGTCGCCAAATGTTTGCTACAGAGTTGCCACTAGTGGCGATATCTGGCAAACTCTTGACACAGTGTTTCGGCGAACTAAAAGGTTTGCAGCGAATTTGCGGCAAAGTTGCGGCGAGTTTACGGCAAACCTTTCCTTTTGGTACGGGAAAATATATCTGACTTAATTTTCAATAAAATTCAAAATGTTATGAGAAGCTAACTGCAAGTGAAATAAGATTATATCAAACTTTATGCCAGTTGCATGATAAGAATACCATTTCCTGATTAAAATATTATTCTCAATAGCTGTTTGTTGCTTTGATAAAATATGATAAACAAGATCAACAAGGAAAGGCGGCGTTCAATGAACGCAACCCCCATATGACCCAGCAACAAGAACCAATGGCAAGGAGCCCAGGGGGACCCTAAACAAAAACAGGACAGGGCAAAGACAGAGGGGTGTTGGGCTTTCTTAAGGGATTCTGTATTTATCTATTTTATGATCACATCCGTGTTATTTGTGCCGTGTGGCGGCTGTAAAAAGTCTCCCCGTACATTGATAAAGTTATCTCTTTTATGATACTGAACGAACTCTATTGCCTTTTGTAATAAAGGTAAGAGGCAAATAGAGTTAAGGACCCTGTCACGCATTTCTAATGGTTTAATATCATATATCCGATGCTACAATCAAGATTTATTAATATTGTAAGTTTCAACAGCCTCCCGATTAGCTCAATAGGTACCTTTGAACAGTGAATCGGGCGACTCGAGTTCGACTTCCAATCTCATAAAAATCAGATCATCGTTTTCGCTTAGTCTTGGCTACGAGCGAAGAGTAGACAAGCGGCAGTAAGGATATGAATTTTATGCGATTGGTTCGACTTCCAGACGGTGCAGTTCACTTTCATTGTGAATGATCATGAAATCCTTTTTAAATTTGTCTTTTGACGTCTTATCTGTGATACGCAGGCTTCATAACCTCCGATCCCCTTTCAAAATTCCATTTTATTTAGTTCCGCCCATTGTTTTCTCGTTTAGGGCACACGCTTTTTATTACTTGGGGACCATACGCCGCTTTTCATGGAATGGCACGGAAGTGTCACATTGAAGGTTCCATGATAACCGCCGTATGAACACATCTGCGGATGTTTCTAAATTCAAAATTTTACTATTTCACGTTTAAATGTTGAATTCTGCTTAAGCCGGTGCTAGGGGGCGTGGACGGTAACTTGCACGTTCCAGTACCGTCCATGAACAGGCTCAATCAAACCGAGCCTGCAACATTTTCAATTTTGCCGTGTTGGGCTTTCTTTAGGGATTCTGTATTCATCTATTTTCTATTATATATACAACAGTTTCGGTTCCGTGCGAAAGTGAATGCAATTAGTACTTGTAAACTGCTTGACAGGAACGTAGCGCTGGCTGATCTGTGCTCATGTAAATTCAATGTGGCTAAATACCGTGACCCGGAGACCACTATATGTTACATCCATAATAACAACAAACGGGATCTTTGAGCACCTTGATACAAATTGTTCTATCTACATGATTTATCTACCGTCCATGAACAGGCTCAATCAAACCGAGCCTGCAACATTTATAATTTTGCCGTGTTGGGCTTTCTTTAGGGATTCTGTATTTATCTATTTTATGATCACATCCGTGTTATTTGTGCCGTGTGGCGGCTGTAAAAAGTCTCCCCGTACATTTAATCAATGATGTTATATTTTCGATCCTTGAAGATCGTTCAGCACGACATTATTGTTGTGCTTGTGGTATTTTTAGGTTCAACTTTTCGGCATTTTCTAATTGGGTGGTTCCAATATTCCTACTTGAATAATGTTGAATCACCCTTAGGATATGTTGCCTGCTTTTTAAATTTGTCTTTTGACGTCTTATCTGTGATATGCAGGCTTCATAATCTCTGATCCCCTTTCAAAATTCCATTTTATTTAGTTCCGCCCATTGTTTTCTCGTTTAGGGCACACGCTTTTTATTACTTGGGGACCATACGCCGCTTTTCATGGAATGGCACGGAAGTGTCACATTGAAGGTTCCATGATAACCGCCGTATGAACACATCTGCGGAAGTTTCTAAATTCAAAATTTTACTATTTCACGTTTAAATGTTGAATTCTGCTTAAGCCGGTGCTAGGGGGGCGTGGACGGTAACTTGCACTTTCCAGTACCGTCCATGAACAGGCTCAATCAAACCGAGCCTGCAACATTTATAATTTTGCCGTGTTGGGCTTTCTTTAGGGATTCTGTATTTATCTATTTTATGATCACATCCGTGTTATTTGTGCCGTGTGGCGGCTGTAAAAAGTCTCCCCGTACATTTAATCAATGATGTTATATTTTCGATCCTTGAAGATCGTTCAGCACGACATTATTGTTGTGCTTGTGGTATTTTTAGGTTCAACTTTTCGGCATTTTCAAATATCCAAGAAGGCGGTGGCTAATGGGCTAATTGTGTAGGTTGTAAATATTTGCAATTTATGCGAGTATATCTCTCTGGTATCCTTGATGTGCGGAGACTGGATATCCGTCTCCATCGCACATCCCCATGTTGGAGTCCGAGGTGGCTGGGGAACCCGGGAGACGAATTTTAATAACTTTAATCATGGATATACAAACAAAAAACGAAAATC